TTCACTTTGAGAATATTGCCTAATGATGCAGAGAACTACTGCATCTAAACGTGTTTAAGAAAAAAACTCTCAAGGATAAAGAAGGTTGGGAAGAATCACACAGCATAAAAAATACAAATTTGGCTAAAAGTTGATGAGCAGTAGAACCTTTGAACCTATACTTAGCCTTCCTCAGCCTTGAATTTAACAACTCTCTTGAAAAAGTCAAGCCTCAATCTTTTAAACATATCTTCATATCTGTTGTAAGAAAGAAATTCTCTCAAGATGTACATACATATACATATAGGATAGGAATATTAAGACTTAGAAGATTTCTCTCATTTTCTCTCATCTTAAAGTCCCTGGCCTTTGACACCACTGGCTGTATATAGAAGGAAGCTAGTCCAAGAAATTTGGTGAACATCAAAGTTGAAGAGCGATGCTGCAAGTTGTCCCCTTTCACAGTTACTATCATCCTCCCCTGATTTACTGTTGATTTGGCCACCTCTGACAAATTTTTTCTTCTGCTCTGACACCTGGGTACCTAAAATTGCTATGGCACTATTGGTTTAACCTTACTTCTAAAGCTAAAGAAAGTCCAAATAGTGGTCATTTCAGTATCCCAAAGACTCACCTTCTCTCTGTTGCTGTGGTATCATGGGAGGTGGCTGTGGGAAGGCTTGACTTATCTGGCCATATGCAGCAGGATAAGCAGCTAGAGGGAGAAAGAAAAAAAAAAGGTAGATTTCAAGATCCTTGTGGAAACAACAAAGGAGCCTTATCATCTTCTCAACCAAGAATTCAATCTCATAGGTCAGAAGGGGCATCTTGCAATGATCTCAGAAGATCCTAAAATCTAGGAAGCTAAATCTCTTAATATTAGGGGGTGGAGGGAGGGGACATATTAGCTCTTAGTATCTAAAGTAGGTCTAGGTTCAGGTTCCACATCCATGCATGTCATCCACGTCAGTTGGTCATTCAGAACTGTGAACTGATTGCACTGTAGAGCAACAGGTTTGACAGATGGAAAAAAGACAATGGGTGGTACATGAACATGAGGAGTCACAACTGCAGATTTCAACTTGAAGAGGATGCAGAAGGTAGATCAGGATCTACGGACACATCTCAAGGTAATTTGGAGCAGACAGGCAAGAACAGGACTCCAATTGTTTAACAATTAGAAACGTAGAAGTAAAGTCTCCTTCAATTCAGGTTTAACTAGTAGCTTCATGGGCATGTCCATATTGTTTTCTTGCAATGTGACTTGAAACTGTCTTCTTCTGGGACCTTCTTTCCTGGTCTAGCTACAGCTTGGGGTTTGCTAATGGTCTCCTATCCAAGTACACTCAGGTCCATTCTTGGTCATCTGGTTCAAAATCATCCAGGATTGGCTAGATGCTGTCATTTCCACATTGTTGCCAAGAAAACTACATGAACATCTCCCTGAAATCCCTCGGAGATAAGCTTGATTCGAGGGAGTCCTTACCTTTTATCTTAAACATTGCCTGATACCTATACCTCAACAGCTTTCATCAGCCTGATTTTTGCATAATATATTCTTGTGAAATAGTGGAGAATCTCAGATGGTACAATTTAGGGCAGTTCCCCCATATTACACCCTCTAAATGTGATAGAGCTGCAATCCTGGAATTTTAATATGTGATGATGATGATGGTGGTGATGTTGATGACGATGATGATGGAATTAGCCAATCCTAACACATCTGGGGCATGTCTTAGGTTAAGGTTATTTAATTTAGCTCTTCTGCCTTCCCAAAATAAGCAGAAAGGTAATGTATTGTTAAACCTTTCCAGATTGGTGCTCTGCAGGTATCTTACATGACAAACCTTATCATTCCCAGCCAAGATGCCTTCAACTTCCATCACCCCCAGCCAATTCATCTGAATGGCACCAAGTTAAAGAAAGCTGGATTAAGTGTCAGTGCCTCAAGTGATCTGAGCAATAGGAGGCATCAGTATGAACAACAGTTAAGGCTCCCTTGATTACAAACGGAATCCAAAATAATGACTCCGTGGAATCCCAACTGGGGTAGGAAAGACACAAATGCCCATTTGCATGCCTGGACTTAATTAAGAGCTGCAGCCCTTAGAATCTGAGATCTCAATGTGACCCATCTGTCAACCTTGATCAGCAATTAAGGGTGGGAATTAAACACCAACCAATCAAGGTTTCAAAATTTGCATCCCCAGATCCAAAAGGGGGGGGGGGGGGAAGCTTTGCACAGCAAGAACTAATGACTGTCCTCTGCACTCCAGGAAACAAACTAATTGAGTGAAGCAACAGGCTGGACTTGTTAAATGTGAAAGGACACCCAGAGCCTATTCTGAATATCTTCTACAATATTCTTGTGAAATTGCACCATGTCCTAAATGCATGAGAGAATGGTCTGCTTGAAGGTGAGAAGGGTACAAGCACCCCTGAGTTGGGCTAAACTCTTGGTTCCCATGTCCATGCTGCTTTCCTGACACAATTAGGGGAATTATTTGCCCTTCCTTTCTTCTTGGATGCATCTTGGTTGCCCATTGGGCCCACGGCCCTGGAATTTTTAGCCCTCCCATCCAGATCTGATCACAATTAGTTTCCAAGATCAGCCAAGGTGACCTAAGAGTTGCCAGGGCAAAACCTTTCTGCAGTGCTGACCACAGCATTGCATGGTTGAGTCCAGATGGTCACCAGGAACTGCACTCAGCTCAGGGACATCTTTACTATTACCATATCAAGCCATATCTAGCCTTTGGGGGAGAAAAGCCTAACTTTCCTTTTCCTGTCCATCTGTGATCTTAGAAAGGGATTTGCTTTCCTGAGTTTAAGCTCTTGACTGACCATCTGTCTCTGCTTTGCCTCTTCTTTTACCTGGTCTTACCTCCTAGCTGCTTCTGTACTTTGTTCATAGGCATGCTTCCCTGCTTCCCAGGTACAAGATGAGAGTCCAGCTGGTGCCAGCCCTTTGAGATAGGCCAGATCAGGAAGCAGACACCATAAGAACTACTAGAGCTCTAGCCTGTTGCAATAAGGTATAATAACAGAATCTTGAAAGTGTGACAGAGTCTCTCATTCCCTTCTCTTATACCAAATAGAGTCAAGATGGGGCAAGTCTCAACCCCTCCTGTCTTTCCAGGCTAAGTATATTTTCCTAATGGCTGGTGCATATTTTCGTCAAGGCTATCTGTGGACACCACATATTAGACTCAGTCTCTCGTCCTGCGAGCAAAGAAAACATGGGGTGCCCCAGGGATCTGACGTATTCTCCATGATCAAAGGCAAGGTTTGATGATTCTCCAAATAGATTGATGTCAGTTCTTCAAGGTAGGCCTGATCAGGAAACTGTAAAGGGCTGTGAGAATAACTTTGAGGATCAGGAGGAAGAGCTACAACCAAGACAATGGTCAGATTAGTGAAATCTCAGTCCAAAGCAGAAATGTAATTAGAGAAAACATCTCAGACTTGACCTTCCCTAGTTTTCTTAAAGATAAAAGCAGGGAGTGGGGAGGCAGTTTCAAGATTCTGTTACTGTAATCCTACCATGAAAGGAGTATTAGTATTCATAACTTTTGTTTCCTAGTCTGGTCCACCTCAAAGGGCTGACAGAAATAAACAATGCATAAACTACTGGAATTCTACTTTATTGTTATAGAGTGAAATACTAGAACCTTGAAAACCTAGCAGAGTTTCTCTCTCACTCCATCTCATACCAAAGAAAGTCAAGGTGGGACAATCTTGAGTTTCTTCCTCATTCCTTCCTGCCTTTCCAGGGTAAGCTGAACTAACAGCTGCTGCATTCTTTTGTCAAAGCTATCTCCATCCTCCTCAATGGCTGGCTAGAGTCTTAGTTTATCCTTGTAGTTCGACATCTCTTCTATTAGGAACAGTGGCTAAACTTTCTGAGGAAACTTGGCTAGGAGTCTTCATTGCGATCAACCTGGGATCTGCTCCTTTCAGAAATCTGGGTTGAGCTACTGTCTGCAGTTTGGGATGGCTCCTCCAACCCACTTTGTATGAAATTTTGCAGGTGTGTGGTGGATTCTCTTGTCCTATATATGAGGAGGCCTAGAATAATTTCTGCTTGATAATGTGGGTAGGTCCAATCAAACCCTCCTTTTTCTTTTTATGAACGACAATTGGTGCATTGGTTTGAAAAGATGGCTTCCTCTTTTTCTGTGGTGAAATGTGCATGTTTAACAAGAATGAAAGAAAACAAAAATGATAAAGAACCCTTAATGTCATGCATGCATAGGATGTTTAAAAAATCATGGATGGTTTCCTTTTACATTTGAAATGACTGCTGTAACCTGTGGTCTTACTTATTTAACCCTCTACTTATTTCTCTGAGAGAGAAGAATGGCGCTTCTTGGGATATTTTTTCCCCTTTGTGGATTCAGAACATTGAGGGATACAGAGAAAATAATCCCACTTTTTTGGCTTTTATTTCTAAACTGCTCAGCCACAAGATAAACCGTGTGCAATTATCAGTGAGAGGTAATGTTCTTATATGAGGATCCATCTCTAGGTATGTTTTTCTTCCCTTCTATGTGTTCCTTTGCTGTTTACATTTAATTCTGGTCTGGATCCAAATTTAAATATCTACTCTAAGCATGATTAAATTTGGACCAACTGTGTTTTTATTAACTTCCATATCTGTATCTATCTCGATATATCTCTATCTCTCTGTATCTTATCCATATCTTCTCATCTGATCGCTACAAGGCTTTTGTAGTGTTATTGCTTATTGTGTTCTGAGGATTGGTCAACTTCTCCTTGCTCTGTAGCTCCCCAGCTTCTAATATGGATTGTGATCACTAGCTGCTGTGTATTTAAAGAGGAAAGCACAGTATACATATAAGGAATAAATGAATGCCTCTGAAGGCAACTTCATAGCACAGATGTTGACCTCTGGGCTGCTCAGGTACAATGCATAGGCTGATGAGATCAACCATGAAGAACGCTGCTACTTTTATAGGGCCCCATAAAAGTGAAAGGTTTATTGGGAGAAAGTGTTAATACTAACGACCTGCGTATTGCTGTACTCCAGCATATGCTTGTTGCAAAGGATCGGCTGTGGTTGGGCTTTGTGCTGTGAAGACACAAGAGAGAAAAGAAGGAGAGGTTGAAAGGCACGCCAATATCTCCTGGAAGTGCAACACCACACATCTGGCAATATCAGTTGAACACATTTCTATTCAAAACTAGGAGCATTCGTTGCAATGGGCAGTGAGCTGCTTGGTTGGTTGATAATGAAATTTCTAACCCCCTTCTCATTGATAAAATAGTCTCAGAGGTGTGGATACCACCATATTAACCAATTTACTTTTAAACAAATAAACAAAAAACTAGAAACTTCTCTCTCTCTCTTTCTCTCTCTCTCTCTCTCTCTCTCTCTCTCTCTCTCACACACACACACACACACACACACACAGATAGATTGTATTTCGTGATTGAGAGAGACAT